TTTTCTTTTGTTCTTTTCCCCCAGAGTTTGGCCTGTCATGAATACAACGAGGTTTTACACAAGGATGCAGCCAGTTTAATTATTAAGGTTTCAACTTGTAATCTATGAGTCCTAATTCTTTTTTGCTCGTGCAAGTTTTATGGTCATTAACTGCGTCATTCATCCACTCAGGGTGTTCTGGATGCTGAGAAATCATATTGCAGGTAAATTCCTTGACTTCATGAATCTATTCTCGGACTGTTTGATTATAATATTCTGATGGCAGGTAAACTTGGATGTTCTTGGAGATTCATGCTCTCTTTCTGCTGCAAGAAAAGGACCCAGTTTCTATTTTTAAGATAGGTTCGGCAAGTTTTGATTCTCCATTAAAAAATAAATTTTGCTTCTGGAGTCGATTATGAAACAAGCATATTACAATGTTGGTCAGTTTAAATTCATTAAGCAGGTTATCATGGATGTTTTTGTTTCAGGAATTAGGAGATAATTTTTGGCCACTCCGAGGAGAAATTATCGGAGAGTCCTCAAATTAGAATGTCACTGTACCCATAATACTTAACTGGATTGGTGGAATTATAATCTGCGGAAAGATACAATCCGGCTCCTTCAGGTGAACCACTCTTATTAGATCTTCTCTAGAGGTCTTTTGCTTCAAGCAGGCATTGTGGGTTAACTAAAGACCGATAGTCATTTTTGAAAGTTCTCGGAAGAACCTTTTTCTTTCAAAAAAAAAAAAAAAGAACCGTTCACATCGTGGTGAGATTTTAAGCATATTGTTTTCAAATATCATTTTGGTGTGATCACTTGTGAATTAACGCAACAGAGAGCCAACCTGAACATAGTTTAACTTGTTCACCTGATACATATCCCCAACTAAAAGGTCGTGGATTCGAATTTCCACCCCTACAAGTTGTACTAAAAAAAACTCGAGAACAGTGCAATTGGAGCGAAAGAGGGTTGGTTATTGGTTTAAAAATACTGATTAATTATCTTTTAACAGGATTGCTATATTTATTGTTCTCCTAATGAAACGAACAGTCTTACTAATTTAGAACTACATTGTTAACTGAGTTATCTATTGATTTCCATCCAGTTTACTTGTGATTATGTTTTTAGTTAAGCAAACACGATATTGGTGTATACTTGTGAATGGTCTGTAAGTGATTTCGGAAAGATATTTGTCTTTATTTCTGTATATGAAGCGAAGATTATTAATTGGTCTTTGAATTATTGCTTCGTCCCTATTAAATTTGCTGGCATTCTAATGAAGATAAGAGATGGTGCTGAAATAGCCATACTGTCCTCTCTGTGCCCCCGAGCGCCGCAGCGCTGCGCATTTGACTTGAGGATTGAGATAGGCATGGGCGTTGGGGTGCTGAGAGCTCAACGACCTGCTTTGGTTGTTATTGAATTTGTGGTGATAATAATCATGTCCATTCATCTTAACTTTTAGGAAATTTCTTCTCTAATTTTGTTGGTCCAATGTTTATCACTTTTTTTAGTTGAACAATATGTGGAATGAGAATGAATTCAAACCTCCAACTTTTTAGTTGAGAATATATATCTTAACTAGTCGAGTTATGTTTGAATTGATTGATTGCGATTTATATTTGACTTGGTTAGTTAAGTTTGGATTGATTGATTGCGATATATATTTGACTTGCATATCTGTCGTAATAAGCTCTTACATAAGAGTTTGATCATATCTCAATTAGCTACAATGACTGACCTATCTTAATGGTTGGTTTAAACGTTGGAAATTTGCACCTCAACTTTCTTTCTTTCCCTTAGTTTATTTTGTTTAACGAGACATAACCATAACGTTGGAAATTTGCACCTCATCTTCCTTTCTTTCCCTTTCTTTCCCTTAGTTTATTTTGTTTAATGAGACATAATCATAATATGACAAGGTTTTTGGAAGCAATGCTACAAACCAACTGCAAGATATTTTTCGTACAACACATTTTACAATCATAATTTCAAATGCCAGTGTGATTTGCACAGTTCATTGAATAATTGTTCAATAGGCAAACTTGGGAGGACATGTTTTGTTAGTTCGTTTCACATTCGACATAATTTTGAATTGAAAAAGATTCAAATCCTAACCTCCCATGGTAATTCAATGAGGACTCAACTTGATTCAGCTAATGCACAGGAGAAGATGTATGGTATGGACAATAAATATGTTTTGCTTACAACATAACTAGAATGTTCAGACAAATTATTAAATCTATAGCTTGCAGACGATGAGGGAAGCGAAGATTAAAACAAAAAAAAAACAAAAAAAATCTACAGCTTGGTGGTGGGAGAAGAAGCTATCATCAACCAAAAATGGGTTCCCAGAGCCATTTTTCCTCGTTACATTTTGAACTTCTCTAAGTGTGTAAAAAATCATCCTTTTTTGTTTCTCTCTTCTCAAGAAACTAGGGTGGAGAAAACAAAACCTCCTAAGATAGTCAAAATTGTCTACTTTTGAATCTACAATGAAAGCACTGGTGGAAAATCAAGTAGTAGTACACTTTTTTTAACTAGTAATGCAATCTTGAAAATAAAGGTGGCTTTGGTTTATATAACGTTTCCACAGAGGTTTGTACCTGCTTATGGCCAGCTTCAACCATGGCTTCATGTTTCCATTGAAGTGAATTACAGCTGCACTCTCGATCAAACGATTGTCGATGTTCAGGTCATAACCCAATCCCAAGACGTGCCATCTCCGATCAAGTGGTTCTGTTAGCCCGTAGAAGGCTAATAAACCAGGAGGAAGAGTGCCTGGCTTCCAAAGCAAACCGTCAGCATTTTGTTCCTGCCAGTAATGATACCGAGCAGTTACGTTTGCTTTCCTCCATGCGATCAGATCAAAGACATTCATGCCAAATGCCCATCCACAAGCCTGTGGGTCAAACTTTGAGCTTATGATTGCATTTGAAAAGTTTAGGTACTTGTAATAACGATGAAACGCTTCGAGACAAGTTTCAACTGCTCCATTCACGTTTTCATGCAAGTCAAGAGAAAATAGTGGCGTTAGGTCTTTCTGGACTACGACATCATCGTCAAGAAACACTACCTTCTCTAGTTGTGGATAGATCTCTGGAATGTAAAACCGAAGATGGTTCAACAGCAACAGGTACTTTGGGTTTCGCAATTTCGGTTCAACTGCCAAATCTTGAAGTCCTCCAAAATAATACGCTCGTGTATTTGGATCAAGCATTTGTTTCAGAACAGGAGCATAAGAGGCATTTAGCCAAGAGAAGTCCTCAATCTTTTGGACTTCTATAGTAGATCCTTTGAAATTATTACTAAGGAACCAAGTCTGCATAGCTCCATAGTTGATCTCATTTGTGACAATGTGGAAGACCAACTGTTTTGGATGATCAGCATTAGAAACCGTGGAATTGACAACCACAGACGTCGCCAAAACATTATCCGAAAATATGCAAAAATGATAGAGATTATTATCCACAACGCGCTGGGAGTTTCTCCTCTCATCTGCCAGTTCTTGGAAGGATGGGTATTCCATCCAGTCAGCTATGAGCTTCACATTTAGGCAGTGAAGACTCTTAGGAAGAGCCTCAGCTGCAAGTTGCCCAAACACTGTGCTCTGTACTGTGGCAGCGTTGGCCCGCTCTTCAAGGGCTTGAATATGAGACTTCATTGTCATTATTGTAGTTGAAATATCATAATGAGCATTTTGTGCCTTGAATATTAGAGAGGATAGGCTTTTAATTATGGGCTCTGCTTCCTCTAGAGTGATGGGCTCCCCTCTCATCACAGCTTTAGAAAGCAATAGCTGGGAACTTCTGATCTTTGAGCTCAGCTCCCAAGCAAGGTGAAGATTGCTATGCTCTTTGGCAATAACAACATAAGCTTTGGCGAGGGTGATTTGCTCCGCCAATTGTCGGGAAAATGATGTGGCACTTGATATTTCTTCAGTGAAATTTAATCTGTCATGAGCAACCTGTTCAATTCTTGAATTTCTCTCCTGGAGAAAGAGGGATCAAGGTCAGGAGTCACCTAACGAACATTTGAGCCATAATATGCAATTAAGAGAGAAAAACTAATAAAGAAAACTGAAAGATCCTCCATGAGCCAATTCTTGTATGAGAAAACATGCTGCTAGTCAATTGTTTGCCATGAATTGGCTTCCTTATGAAGAGGAATGACAATTGCTATGAAAAATTCATTCATACGTAAGATTACTAGAGTTTATGAGTCCAAGTTACTATAATCCTTGTTTCGACACGAACTACTACTTCCATCTGTCTATACCCCAATTGTTTTTAGAAAATAACATGTCACCCTGTCCACCGTGATGTTATGCTAATGTCCATACTTGTGCTTGTAAGGTGAAATTAGTAAGACATAAGTAGAGTGGAGGTGTCAAGGTGCTGTGGATCAGAGAAATAGAGGTTTATTTAAGGAGTCACAGAGAAAAAAATTGAATCTGGTAACCATTGTATTTGTTAAATTATATATTTTTACTTCTAAAGTTATGAGTTTCTCTTCCCTTACCCATCTTCGGGCTCGCCTTTAAGATTACTAGCTATCATTGAATTAACGAATTTGAACTATTTACTCTAAAAAGATAAGCAACTTCTTAACATATTGCACATAAAACATAATTTACACAGTCAATAACTCACTGCAACAACTTATACCCTTCATGTTTAATCCTTTTCTGTATTCTATATAATATCTGATCTGTAGCCAATGCAATGTAAATCTGATTTGTACAAGCATAAAAAACCAATGTTTTAAAATATGAAGCTCTAGATATTTTGTTTCAGAATCAACCCATAAACATCACATGATATTTCACATCATCTTGTAAGAGCAAACTGAACTTTTATTTCAAATTTCTTTCAAGAATTGATGTTTAAGAAACCGTTGGTGATTACCATCAAAATTTCCAAACCATGAAAGTGAAGACAACAAATGCTTTTGCTGCTCAAGGAAACTACAGACCTCCCATTACTCTTTTCTAAACAGAACATTCTAAATCCATGAAAAAGTTTTCTTCCAATTACTCCAACAGGATGTTGACAATTTAGCAACTGAAATCACATGCATCCCCAATTTTATAGAAAGATCCATTTTGCATAACTTTAATTTGTCTCATGTCCACCCACACCACTCTACTTCAAACAAACAGTGGCACAACTTCAATTTATCTCCTGTCCATCCACTTCAAATTCCCATTGCCAACCACTACTTTCTCATTGGCTGAAGTGAAGAGTCTAAACAGAATTTCCTTAAACAATTCTTATATCAGATCAGAGTAACTTCCACTTAAAGGTTTAAACAAGTGTAATGACAAAAATGTCTCCTAATTATTTCCTTAACAACTCAAAATCTGTGGTCCTTTGTGAGAGGCGGACCATGTAAAACAGACTCATAAATCCAGTGGTACACAATCAATTCAAATCAAACTTCTCAACATATTAACAAAGCCATCTAAAACACTCTTCGATGAATGTATAGAACTGGCCAGTGTATATTAACAGCCGTTGATACAAACCCAATAATTATCTTAGGTTCTCGTTCCTAATCTTGCAAGAATTAATAACGGAAACATTCAGAGAATAACAATGAAGGGATGAATAAAGAACAACATGATGCAGATGCAAACCAGCTTATTAGATCATGTTGAGCTCATAAACCTTAAAACAGAACAATAACAATTGAATTCATAGATGTAACAGCAGCAGAGTGAGAAACGATTCGGCAAAAGGAAGTTTGAAGACATGAAATGAATCGAAATCCAGAAGCTCAAATGTAGAAGTAAATGAAGAGACGGAGGAAATACCAATACGGGCTGTTCGACGCGATCTTCCCTCTGATTATGGTGAACTACAAACAAAACGAGTCCTACGATTGTGAAAAGCCCAAAAAGCGCCCAGATCCAATGCGAAAACCTCCGTCGAACCGGGCGGCGAAAGTCGGCCGGCCGCCGCCTCATCTTTCACGGATTACTTCGCCCCAATTCAACACGAAATCATAAATCGGAGCCGACCCATCTCCCAGATTCAATCAAGAAGGTAAAAAATCCTCCACCATATCGATGGCTTGGCTCACTAGAACCAGTGGCGCCCTTAATCTCGATCAAGTCAATACACCCTCTTCTTCAGTGTATCGAAATAATCAATAATGCCCACCTTTTTATTCAATCCAAAAACTCGAGAGAAGGCAAAGAATCAGTACCCAGAATCAGAATCAGTCCTACAGGGCCAAGACTAATAAGAGTAAGGCTGATCTGTATGAGCTAGCAGTAATCACACCCACATTCAGAAATTCACAAAAACGGGTTCTTCCAAAAATGAAAAAAGGGGTCTCAAAATTGTAAGAAACGAAAGGAAAGCACAGCTCATGGGAGCATGTGCTGATGCTGCGGTTTTGTAGCTGCCTGATGATCTCAGCCAGCGAGGCTTTTAATGGTAATTACCATATCAAAATCAATTATCAAATGCAATTTTTTCCAACACCATCGTCTTCGAGCACATCAAAAAAAAAAAAATTTACCATCTTTTTTTGTCCCCACCACTGATTTTTCAGCTTCAACCATTAAAAAGTCTCGTCGATTCAGGCGGTTGCAAATAACAAATATAGCGTAAGTTAAAAATATTTGCAAATATAGTATTAATTTTCGAAAAAAAAATTCACATCTCTATCAATGATAGACTTAATAGATGATCCCCTTACAAAATTGTCTTATTTGCAAAATTTTATCTCTTGTATTAAATAAATAAAAACGATCTAATTTTTTGTTTACCCCATCTCCATATTCTTATTAAAAAGGAATACCATTTTAACAAAATTGGAAATTTATGTTGATTATCGGGTTATTTGTTTATTTTTTATAAAGAGATTTTTTTTTTGGAGATTGAATTTTAATTTAGTATAAGTGGGATGGGAAAATTTGAATTCATAACCTCTTTGTTAAAAACAAGTGTCAATTACTACCGAGCTAAGCTTATGTTGGCATATAAAACTTTAATTTAACTTTAATTTTTTTGTTTACTTTAAGTGTGTCACAGTCACAATAATTATATACCAATTGTATACTTTATTAACAAATGGTGGAGCCAACATAAGCTTAGTTCAAGGATGATCAACACCTATGTCTTACGAAAAGATCGTGAGTTCAATTGTCATCCCACTTATTGTACTAAAATACGTAAATAGATAAGAAATGGAGGAGATGTTCTCATGAAAATGATGGTGGAGAGAAAACCAAATTGACAGATGAATTTGTCAAAGCGAGCATAGTTTAGTTGTAATTGACATATATCTCCAACTAAAAGGTTGCAAGTTCGATCTCCACTCACGCATATATTGTACTTAAAAGAAAAGTGATTGATGAAGTTGAGATAACGGTTTATTTATTTATTTTGAAACAAGTTAGGTTAATTGTTGACATGGCAATGACTAAACAAATTACAATACAAATTTTTTCTTTAATAATTGATTCATTAACAAATATTTGGTCTTAAATTTTATCCAACATCTCATATGGTCTAATAATGAACTAAAAATTAAATATTGCCTAATAATATATTTTTAGTACAACAATATACATCTAACTAAATATACATCTAACTAATTAAGTTAGGTTTAAATTGACAACATAATCCATTGATTGATTGGGTGTAAACAAGCCCGAACCTTGATAATATTTTGTTGATATTTTTTTGGCAGATTGAACTTTAATTTAACATTACTTTTTTTTTTATTAAGTCTAGGATACAAGTAACGAGAAAGATACGAATAATTTATTAAGATGTAGGTTTACACTTAACCTTTTTTTTTTTTTGGGATTTTCTGCAAAATTAATCGTCCAACCCAATTGATAATAATTTTGGAAATTATTAAATTAACAACACAGATAATTTCATTTTCCAAAACGAACATCTGAAATGGGCAAGGCTTTTTTTTTAATCAATCAAAATGAAAGCCAGAGAAATGCCGCAAGGAAGACTTTTGTTACACCCAACTAGGAAAAAATAGAGAATTAAAAATTTTTAAGGCAACTTTTATCAGCCACTGAAAAAAAAAAAAGAAAAAAAAGTTACTGGTGTGAATAAAAAACCAAGCCCTGCGCCGACAGAACATTTAGTGTATGATGTCCATTAAACCTTAGCTTCCTGTTTGGTTTCTGGAAACAATTGTCTCTAAACCAGAACCAACTGAGCCAAGACAAGCTCTTAAAAGCAGCCCAACTTGGGATGGTTTACAATTCCAACTTCAGAAGGGATAGGGAAATACTGTAGCCAAACAGCCCCCCAAGCAAAATAGTAGAATGAGTCTTTTCCAGCTAAATTTTGAGGTGGGGAAGGGGATGATTCCATTTTCAGAGCCTTAACTACAGACCAGAAGTGTCTGATATGAGGGGCACAAACTGGGATTAACTTAGGCTGTTCTATCACTACATGTCGGAATCCAGCTGCTTTTTTCCAACCAGTCAGTCTTCAGCTAAGATGTGTTCATTCTGATTTACAGACACAGAGAAGCTGATTTCATGCCATAGTTTGTTCATTATAATCCCAGAATCTAACTCTATTCTTTAAACTAATCTCGGTTGCCATGGAAGAACATGAAGAGCTCACTCCCAAATGTATGATGATCTTCTACTTCTAGCTTGGATCCATTAACAAGAAGGAAATTGAAACTGAAGATCCATTTACAAATTTTTACACCATTTTGTTTTCATGGTTTTCTATTTTAGAGTAATACAGCCAATCATCTTCAGAGAGGAAGCAAAAAGTGAGGCCAAATAAGACTCACAGTATCAGAAGCATCACGATTTCCATCTTGTTTGCCTCTGCAACAACAACAATGGCAGCTGAAAGAAGAAATTCTAACACGGATTCAAGCCAAAAGCCAGAAATTCTTGTGACTTTTTGTGGTGATCAAATATCCTCCAAGTTTCTTGCTTTTCCTCCTCACCGCGATGGTCGGGCATGATGAGTTTTGGATACAGTAATCCACAATCCCACCATGATTCCTCCTCTTGCTTGTGCTGAATTTCTTTACCAGAGACCAGAATGGAGATTGCTTTCTTTGCCCAAGAACCAGCAGAGACACTCTCTGTTTCTTTGCTTCTTCCACAATCACACGACCCATCTCCTTCCCCTGTAGAAATTCCATCTCTACTTGAACCTAAAATCAAACAGGAACGCATCCCAATTTATTTGTGTTCTAAGAGTAATCCCATTTGGATTCTTTTTTAGTGCCATGTTTTAACTCATTCTGCTTAATCCACATTCAACTGATTTCTAAGCCAAGAATCTCATATTTGCACCTATTCACAGATACAACACAGAGTTGATAATATAATATGGCAACGATTGATATGGTAGAAACCTCAGCCCAACTCTAGTTCCATATGCATTCAAAGTGGGGAAGTTCTTCGGCCTCTCTAAGAAATGGGCTGAGGCCAAAGTAGAAAATATCCTATGGAAATATGAAGAGCCCATTGTCTTACCAGCTCATTCTTACACTAAATTTGATTATGAACTACTCTTTTTTTTCTGTCAAGAACTATTCCTTTCATCTCTGGAGTCAATTGGGAAAGGAAAAAATGGAAGACATGACAGAAACTTACTCCTGGCCTTCTCATTTGGCACATATTCTTCATAGACAGAAGAAGCTCGTACGCCTTCATGTCAAGCTTTTCATCGAACACCAAACCTGCACAAACAAGAACACCATCAGAAAAACCCTCCATCGAAAAGTAGCTAATCAACACACATTAGACCTTGTGTTTAACCTTGTTTTGAAGGCTTGGAAACGTGAAGAAGAACGATAGAATCCCGACTCTGAACCGCATGAGACAAGGCCCATTCAAGAGCTCCTTTACCCTCAAAACTAGAATCAACCACAACCATTATTCTATTACCAATCTCGGCCACATATTTCGCACTATCTGCACTGTGCTCATCCGCGGAATGCCCTAAAAGCTCCGCCCTCTGAAAACTCCCAATGGAATTAGCGGCGGGTCTGGCTGGAATCTGCCGGAAACAGACCTGGAAACAGGCCGGCGATCGAGAAACTCTCACCCTCTGCAATCTGGCGTGTTTCCTCGCCATTTTCTTCCCGTGGTGGGTGGAAGAAAAACAAGGTACTTATAAGTCGTACAGGGAATGGAATCAAATTCTAGATACGCCATGATTGGCGTTTGGAATTGAAAAATGGTGCGTTCGTTCATCTGGCAAGTCCAAATTCTTGAAGGCGCTTGTTGTTGGTCGTGTTTCTGAGATGGTTGGGCACCGCTTTGAACGTGCTTGACATGAAATTGAATTAATCAATTAGTTTCCATTTCCATTTCCGCCATTGCCGCCATTGCCATGCACAGCTTCCTCAATTTTTAAATAAGAATAAGATTCTTCTCTTCTTTTTTCCTCTCCTTCCAAGTATGGATTTGTTAAATATTTCCGCACGTCTGCGATCTTTCTAAAATCTATTCCCCAAATTGAACGTGTATGAATAAATTAGGGGATAATTCGTGAACATTTGTATGCATCCACATGAGAATTAAGTCCACGTTCTTATCATATTACGAAAAAAGGAAACAAAATCGTTAAAATATGAAAAATATAAACATAATTTCGCTAATAGATACGGTAAAAGTATATTAATTATTTTTAATTTATTTAAAAATAGAGGTGCTTATTTATTAATTTAAATTTTTTTATATTAAATATCCATAAACATCTATATTTTATCGATATTTTCTATGAAAAATTGAGACATTGATATTTCTATCGATATCGAGATTTAAAACCTATTCAACACCACATGAGCGAAGAATGTCCTAACAGTAAATTTAATATTTCAAGTCTAAGATTCGATCTCCACCAAATATTTTTTTTAATACAATATAATTTTTTGATGGGACATATATATACCTTAATTGAGTTGGTAAATTGATTTCATTTCATAGAAGTTATATTAATTTTCTTTAATTCAAGTTTATTAATTCTTAAATTAGTGTATAAAGATACCTATAATCTTGAGTTTTTTTAGTTATTTATTTGTTATAAATCGAATTAACTATTCTAATGGGAAAATGAAAGGAAGAAAAAAGAAGGCTATGTTAAAGAACCCATAAATTTCTATGAAATGATGGAGAGTTGGGCAATATGGTAGGGAGATATGCAATATAAAACAACAGGTCAACCTCATGATTAATATTCTAGAATTACAAATCAGAAGGCAATCCCATTGAATTAGAAGTATATTATAAGATCCTTGAAAATAAAATATGCCACTGTTTTTAATAACAAACTTTATGCAGAGTTTGGAATGTTATATATATAAATATAGAAAACCTTAAAATATAATCATATCAAAATTGAATTATCTCCCGTATAAAATTACCAATACAAGCTCTATTTATTTATTTACTTTTTATCATCAAAGAACGCTTTAAAACTATAAAAACAAGTAGAGATTAGGATGGGACGGAGAATATGTTACCTGCCCTTCTCCGTTAATATATTAAAATACACTAATGTATTGGAACTTATTTGTATTGATAGTTTGAATTATAAAATTTAAGTTTTAAGATTTTTTTTTTTTTTTGAATCATGAGACATAAATAGGATTCTCTATGGAATTCAATTGAAAAGTTCCTTAAAAAAAACATGAGTAATTTCCTATAGTGCAAAATTTCATGGAGAATTTTACCTTCCGCTCAATAACATTGAAGTGAAATAAAAGAATTAGTTTGAATCTTATTTTAATATGTTATACTCATATTTATTTCACTTTTTTAATACAATAAGTCGGAGTATGAAGTTCAAACCTCCAGCCTTAAAAGGAGTAGGTATAAATTACTGTTAAATTATATTCATTGCATATTTATTTCACTTTGCTAGGTTTTAAGTTTCATTTGATTTGTGAAATTCGTAAAATAACAATAATAATAAAGAATTCATTTTGCTACATTCCCTTTTCTTAATATCCTTCAATCAATTAATTGGGCCGCGATTTGTGGCCCATCTAACTCAATAGCCCAAATTCATTTATCGTGGGCCGCTCACTAAAGTTGGATCTTCGGATTATGATGATACGTCTTGTATTGTTGAATGATGTGAAACTCACAGACGGAGTTGGATTGGAGTGTATTTTAGGTATATTATGGGTATATATCAAAAATTCTGTTATGATTTATAAATAATGTTACAAAATATTATAATGTATTTTAGTATATATGTAATATATCAATCACTAGGATATATTACTATTGTACCACATCAATCGTACGTAATGAAATAAAAATTATACCAATGCATTATACCGATCTAAAAGATATATACAAATTATATCATGTGAATCATATTAATTTCAAAGATTTATACACGCATCATATTGATCTCAAAATATATATTATATGACATATTGAACCACACTATAGGTTAGACTAAAAAGTATATATTATATACCTTAATAATTTAGTATATACCACTTAAAAGGTATATGTTTTTTTTTTTAATTTTGATACAATATATGGGGATCGGGGTGCGAAATCATGACCCTCTTGATCAAAGATAGGTGCTTTAACCACTTGAACTATGTTCGTTTTGACTATTTAAAAGGTATGTGTTATATAACATATATGAGCATTTACATTATTATTATATTGTAGGTCATATTAAAAAGTATATATTACATAACCTAATACTTTAGTATATACCAATAAAAGATATAGATTATATAATCTATTGGATGAATATATACCGTAGATTAAATTAAACTGGAAAATATATTATATAATGGTTGTGGGAAGTTTTAGCCGACAGAAAACTAATTCTCATAAGAAAAATGAAACAAATCGCTGAAAAACTAATGGGTTGCAGGAAAAGATGGAAAAGAACTAGAACTATCATTGTAAGCTCGATAAACTAAAGAACAACTGGAAGTTAAAAAAAAAAAAGAAAGATGAAATAATAATAATAATAATAATAATTTATGCTAGAAAAAAAAATTAAGCAAGAATAAAAGGAGAGTTATATGTAAGCTTAGGGTCTAGGACCATAATTTGTATGCGAGATGTGCGAGCCGCCAGGTTTGAGAATAAGGTGGTAGTGGCTGATGAATCATTAATCAAAGAGCAAATTTTGGAGAGATTCTTCATTGATCTAGTGGTCGGTAAATCACTGGTCAAAGAGCAAGCTGCGACCAAGTTTAATAATTTGGTGTGATCCACAAATATATTGGTTAGTGAACCACTTTTTCTTCTTTCCACGAAAATTTAGATAAAACCGAGCTTGGATGAAACTGAACAAAAATTTGAAAAACGAATACAAATGTCAAAGGATAAGAATAAACAAATATTGTATTGATTAGTTACTACATATGTTTAAATATTTCATCATTAATATAAGTATTTACATTAAATACATCCATTCTCATTAGAAAAAATACATTTTAAAATTTAGTAATAGATGTACTAAGATGACATTTATTGAGGGTAATTTGGAGACAAAAAAATTATTTAAATCTTGAAAATTCAAATTTGTAAAAATCCGAATCTTTGAACATTTGTGAAATATGACGTGTAATACGACTGTAAGAGGACAATTTCGGGAGAAGTTAATAATCCAATCGTTTCGATTTTTTTCAAAACGCAGCGATCTTTTATCTTTAATTTTTTTAAAATATATTATATATAAATCATATTTCAATTTGAGTGTATTTGTAATTTTTATTTTTTGGATATTCTATCTTCTTTTTTAAAACGTTTTAATAAAATCATTTATACCTCTACAATTTTTAGAATCAATGCTACGTTGAAAATTGGGTATTGATCATACTTTATTTACATATCTACCCTACTAACATATCTAATTATCAAAATTCTCCTTGAGAAAAAATTTGATATACCCCACAATTAATTTTTAAATACCGTAATCCATTATTTTTTTTAATAATTTCCATTTAAGTATCTTATTGTTAGAAAATAAAATCTTTTTATGTGGCTTTCTTACGTCAAAATATAAAATTTATTAATCTCGCTTCTCTCTAGCCTCTTCTTTCATAAAAGGCAAGAGAGATGGTTCAAAAAAATCAAAAATCAAAATATTGATATACAAATAATTATGAACTAATATAAATAGATAAATGTTTTAAATATATATATATATATATATATATATATATAAATAGATACCAAAAAAAAAAAAAAAAGAATTCAAACCCATGTTAAAGTCTAGGCAGCCTTATCTATATTGAAGCAAACATTATTGACCCTTTTTCAAATTTAAAAATCATTCCTCAATAATGAATTAATGTTGTCTTAGATTTCTCCTTATAGGGTTGGTTCATTAATGGGCTTAATCTAGGGCTACCCAACTTCTTTGGCCCACCAATTCAAAATGCTAATTTTTTTGTAATTTTAAAAAGTGGATAACCTTATATTATTTTTTGGTACCTCAAATATGTGGTGGGGGATTCAACCAGGCTATTCTTGTATTGGTAGGTAAATTTATCTTCTTAAACATTAAAAAAAAAGTTGGAAAAAAAGTAAATTACAAATTTGGTCCCACTCTCAAGATTGCGTCTACAAACTTCCAATCTAATAAGTCTTTGACATGTTAAACACATTTTTTTTCTAATTCAATAATCTATTAAACACCAAATTGAATCTTTTACAATTTCATGATATGTCGATTTTGATTTATGTGATTGATAATTGACATAGACATCAACTGATAAGAAAGTCAAAATAAGAATTAAATGAATGAATCACGATCTACTTTTTCAGTTGTTTTGATGTAATAGATCTATCAGCTCAAGAGAGAAGAAACAAAAGACGGTCTGAATTTAGGTAGGAAATATGCAAGCATGGGAGTTGATAGAAAATGGCGATGGAAGAAGAAAAATTATTGAAGGGGAAGACAAGTTGTCCTTTCCATCTACTCTTTCTTTCTCATCAAAGGCAAATGGGAAAGGGGAAAGGGGCATCATAATTGTAAGAAGAAAGACCAATGAGACAACACAACAACACAAGAGGGCAAAAAAAGAAGAGAGGAAAAAAAATACACTCAGTTCCTTATCAGTAGTGAGAACCAAATCTTGTTATTATCACAATTGAAAAATTGACAACTCACTTCTTATTCTTTTCGTATTTATCTGTAAAACATTTAATAGTGACCAGGATAAGATTGATTCTTACCGGTGAGAAGCCAAATATTTTTCAGAAAAAANGTGCTAGCCTTTACACTAAATGGTGTGGGCCCAAGACATTAAATTTGGTTTTCCCAATCCCTACCAATGGCCACCCAAAATTCCCTTGTTATCTTTTTTCCACAAACCCAAATAACCCTCCCTTCCCTTAGCCTTCCCCTTCAGTTATATTCTTGAGATGGACAATTGAATGAATAGGGTATGCCCATCATTTTCACCCCTTAGAAACAAGGGCAAGT